ACAAGCTAGAAGGGCCTATTATATAACAGATTTATGAGAACAATAATTCTAATCCATGAAAAGTCAACCCGAATTAAAGTAATTGTCATTGCAAATAAGCCATATTTTAGTAATATATTCACTTGCCATAATTGGTGCTCAGTTGCTCTTTGATCTCTTATAGAAGAAATTATGGGTAGTGAAGCTTCACTAATTTATATCAGTGACTTAATTTATTACATATTATTGAATTTTGTCAAATAATAAAGAAGTGAACAAATAAAATTAATCAAAGACAGTGCATCATAAATATATTTTGCTTGCTTAATTTGACTATTGTCATTTGTCAAATAAATTAAACTATTGTATTAGTAAAAATATTGCAGTGTGTCTTGTAAAATACCGAGATCTCTCTCAGTAATAACAAGGCCTTCCTGAAACATAATGGCATTAACAGTTTTGCTGAGAAATTGGGAGCCAGCTGTTTCGGTGAATTTTTTGATGTATAAATTAGAGAGGTGACAGTGTAATTTCTGCAGTTCTGTTTATTTCTCCAACTTTTTTTTTTCTTCAGTTAAGTCCGTTAGCCTTTTTCTGTGTTCTATTACACTCACTCACTCACTCACTCACTCACTCACTCACACTCTTTTCCCTTTTGGAAATATGCCATGAAGTGCTTATACTCCAATACAACTTCAATACATGTATGACCAATCACTTCACTGCTCTTTGTAACTCTTCTCTTGGGCTATGTCTACATTGCGGGAGGTATCCTGAAAAATCCTTGCTGCATCCAGGGAACACATTTGCTCTTCCGCTTTTTTTTTTTTTTCATGGAAGAGCAAACACATTCTTTTGGGGAGCCCTGTATATCTCATTCTATGAGGAATAAAGGCTATGAAAGAAGAGGCTTTTCCGCCATTTGGCTCCATCTAGATAGGACCAAATGGCAGAAAAGCCTCTTCTGGAAAAGCAATCGGAAAAAGTTATGCAAACTGTGGAGTGCAATTTGCGTAGCTTTTTCCAATTAAAAACTTATAGTGTAGACCTAGCCTCCGGGATTTTGTTTTGTTACAGTTGTCTTATTATGAAACCATTTTACTGTATTATCTAAACTATTTCTGGGTCTGATTGTCTGGAGGGAGAGCCAATAAGATTAATGATGCTTCCATACAAAATGCAAAATTCTGTTTGGAGTTTGGGACACTGAAGTGGTAGGATTACCTGGAATTTTTAATTAAGATGTATTAGATATACACTTAGTCTAGCAGCACTTTAAAGACTAACAAAACATGTAGATGTTATCAAGAGTTTTCATGGGCACGGTCTACTTCTTTCATCTGAAGAAGTGGGTTGTGCCCACGAAAGCTCACAATACTTATTATGCCACACGTGTTTTGTTAGTCTGTAGGTTGCTGCTTGACTATTAGTTGTTTTTTAAGTTTTTTCCAGCTACAGACTAACTCGGCTACCCCTCTGCAGCTAGATACATATACTTGTCGGGCCTTCATAATTTGCAAGTGAATCCCTTCATTTGCAATTTTCACATTCACAAATGGTCATTTTGATTTTCTGATGTGACCTTTCCTCTGTCAGGCTCTTGAGGTGCTATGTCCTATTAAGCAGTTCCTATTTTACAGTCATCTTGGTCTCTTCTTGTGACAGTTACCTCCTCCCCTCGCAATATGTAATGTCTTTCTGACCTTTCTATAAAGTAAGTCTAGAGCAGAGGATGTCAAACTGGTAACTTCCATTTGAGTATACTAAGGGTTGTAAGAGTTACACTAAATGTAGGTAAGCCTTGCTTGAAAACAGTCTCTTTGCTTTATACATGTGTTGGTGGCTCTGTCATGCTGTGACCTAATTTACTTAATTTGAATGTACTTTGCAAGATTCCTTATTTTTCAGTATAATGTTTTTCACACTTAATCCTGCGTTTGCAGTGACTTCCTCCTTCAGAAAATATGGAAACAAAGCTATTCAGAACATCAGTGTTCTTATTATTTACTCATATGACTTGTGACCTGAACAATAAATAAAGCCTGTTTTGATTTGTGTTTTTAAATACAGGTTAGAATCATAATCAAGATGTCTTGTGTCAGTTTTCAAACTCATTCCGTTTTGACTCTCCCAGCTGAGATGGGCAGAGGGAGGAATGTTTATAAAGTTATGTAGCCCGGGGGCCAAATTTACGAAACCTCTGAGCCACATACCACAATCTTCAGAAGTTCAAGAGCCAGGGCATACCTACTAGGGCTCAGGTCTTCAGCCTTGCCAGGAAAGAGAGGCTGGCGACTTCAACCACATGGTACATGCCTGGCTGGATTCAAGGTTTCAGCCCTGCAGGGTGTGCCTGCCAGTTGGGCAGAAAGTAAGGCGATGGGGCAGTGTTTGCTCACCACATTCAGTTACATGATGCTGTCAGGCCCCATCCCTGCAGGACGTCTCACTGGAGCTGTCAAGCTGGAAGCAGCAGCAGTGAGGAGAGACAACTGCAAATAGCTGGGCGCTGCAGGGATAGCTGCTGCTTTCACTCTGCCTCTTCCTTGAAGCTAAGGCAGGGGTAGGCAAAAGGGCCTCGGGGGGCTGGATGCAGCCCACTGAGCCGGTTGATCCAGCCCACAGATGCCCTGCTGCTCCCCCGCCACCAGGCCAATCAGGGTCTGGGGCCAGGGGAGTGTGCCAAGTCTCCACCCCCATCAGGAGTTGACTCTAAGCTTTGCATGCCCCTGGCAGGGCAGGAGGAGACTTTGCCCATTCCCCCGCTCCCAGGCCCTGATTGACTTGGGGGTGGGGAGAGCTTGCAAAATCTCTTCCTGCCCTGCAAGGGACACGTGCTGCTCAGCTGGCAGTGGACTCTAAGCGTGGCACTCCTTGCAGGGCAGAAGCAGGGAGAGAGAGACTTCCCATGCTCCCCTACACCCTGATTGACCTGGGGGATTGGGGAAGCATGCAGTTTCCTGCCACCAGGGGCTCGGGTGCCTAGCGGGAACCGCCAGCTGTTAAGAACTGCATCAGAGGCAGCAGCATGGGGTGCCAAGCGGGAGCTGGTCCACAAAGGGAGCCAGTTTAAAAACCAGCTCCCCTTACGGACCCACTACTTGTCACCCTGTGCTGCCGTCTCTGATAAAGGGGCAGCAACATCTGTCTAGGGGGCAGTCTTAGCTGGGCTGCCTTTCTGCTCATCTCCTAATACACTTTAAACGCAGAGCCGCAGCAGGAGGAGGTCCAGGACCCATTGCAAACTAGGGCAGAGCTGGGCTGCTGGCCAGCCTGCTAAAAAATGTACTGGCAAGGGGCGTGCTGAGGGAAGTGCATGTAGTCTATAGCATTAGCCTATAAGCTTTTGCTTATCAGATAATCTGTTAATCGACTACACTATTACATGCCTATCCCAAAGATTAACTTGCTGCCTTCTACAGGATTCTAATTTGTCACCCCAATGATCCAATGAGAGGCTGTTAGGGAGATACAGAGCTTGTAGTGTGTGTATTGCCTTTGGTGTATGGGTGATACCCAGCTTTGTTTATTGGACCAGGATGTTTATTTGAGTGATTTACCTATGGTCTAAGATTAGGATTTAAGATGACTGGTATCATAGCTCTTTGATATTTGATTTTAGAGCTTACATGGGAAACAAGCATCTGAAATAAAGGGCAGCAGTTGTTCCTTCTCCCTTGATTATATGCATGTATGTCTGCTATTTGTCACTTAGTTCACAGCCTTGGTGTTTTATTGTATTCCCGGATAGCAAATTTGTCATGGCTTTTCATTTTGTTCCATCAGCATATCTGTAAGGCTGCCGAATTCCCTTGTGGCCCTTGCTACAGTCAGCAATAATCATACCTCGAGGTCCCTTCCAGTTCTGTTTCTACCTTGAGAGAGGATTACTGGAATGTACTCCACATGGCTTTACATGTTGAAGACCATTCTGTAACTTCAGCTTGTACACAATGTAGTGACCCACTTAAATAGCAGCCTCCCAGGGGTAGCCCTGTTAGTTTGTAACTTTCAAACAAGTAGTCCTGTGGCACCCTAGAGACTAACAAAAATATATAGTGTCATGAGCTTTTGTGGGCAAAACCTACTTTCTCAGATGAGCTCGGGTGGAAAAGTGTGTGTGTGTGTGTGTGTGTATCTAAGGTGCTATAGGACTCCTTATTTTTAAATAGAAGAGTTTCTTTGGGGCAGGGGGCTATACTCCTGTACCCTATGATCTAACCTGGCTTTCCGTTTCTCTGGGTACAATCCCAGGTATGGTTTAGATACATAAACCTAATTAATTGGGTCCTGTCTCCCTTAAAAGCCATTTCTCATCCCAAAATATGCACAATTGAGATAAGCAGGGGAACTCCTGGTAAACATCCTTCTGGTTCAGCCAGGAAGAATCTGGTGACAGGGCATTTCAGTAAGGGGGACCCTTTACTTTAAAAGTGACCTTCACAACACATTGCAAAGCCTGTCTGATTTGCCAGGCTTTCCAAGAACAAACTGCTTTGTTGGGTGGAGTCTATGAAAGTTTAAAAAATATATAAACCATTGACTTTAATGTGGATAAAGAAGTTACTACTGTCCAGCTTTACCTTGTCAGCTTTGTATTTGTTCTTTTAACTTTAATGTGTCTTGACTTTTGAAAGGGCATGTTTTACCATTTACAACAAATAAATAAAATGTTATTAAATTTGTTTTAAATCATGCACAATAGTAGTTCAAGTTGACTAAAGATTTCTGCTTAGGTCAATGTTTGCTCTTGTTTGAACACTGAAGAGGTGAAATGTCTTAACTGGCAGCTTCTCTAAAGGAAATTAGGACTGACACAGAACAACCTCTTTTGCCTTTGGTAGTACATTTACGTCACTGTTGAGAGTTAGGGTGTGTAAGGAAGCCATATATTCTGGGAGCTGTCCTTTGGCCTTATTACACACAAGTTCTCTAGACAGACCCAAAAACTGTAACTGTGATTTGTCATTACATAACTTTTATATTTGGAAGGACATGATGCAAAAACTCGATGCTGGTGACCATTATTATTTTATATGTATAACTGCCACAATGTACCAAGTATTGTCCACACATACCAAGATACAATCCCTGATTCAAAGAACTCATTCAAAGGTCATTTGGTAATTGACTCTCTCTTTTTTTTTTCCTCTCTCTCTCCAGATTTGTCAAGGAACAGACTCTCGGAGCTTCCTGCAGAAGCCTGTCACTTTGTTTCCCTTGAGAGCCTTAATTTGTACCAAAACTGCATTCGTTACATCCCAGAGGCCATTCTGAACCTACAGTCTTTAACATTTCTAAATATCAGGTACCATCACATTTAAATCTTGGCTTTAATATCAGTATTATAGACATTTGCAACCTTTGGAGCATTAGAAAATAATAAAAATATAGTGCATAACCAGTGTCTTTTGATATTACATGCTATTAAATTCACCATTCTGGAGCCATCTCTTACCAATTACCTCAATGAGAAGACATCAGAAAATAATAATCTAAATTTTTGGCATTGAGGACTACCTGAAATCTGCTTTTGCATGCTTGCTCCAAATCTTGGCAGCCCCTATTCCTTTTTTGTGATTTCACACACATTCTGACTGTCCACTCTTGTAGATTTGAAGACATAGGAAGGATAAGTTGCCCACTTGTCCTCATTAACCAGTCTGGAATCCTTTTGCTCTTTCTCCGTTTTAGTTTTTCATTCAGGTCCGTAATGTGAAGGGATTTGGTTTTTTTGTTTTCTTTTCTTTCCGATGAGATTTTTAAGTGACAGCTCTTGAGGTTCTGGACCATAAATGAATTTTTCTGGGTACTATAAGTAATGAAAGAGAAAAGATGATCTTGTGGACAAAGCACAGGATCGGGAATCTGAAGATACGAATTCTCTTCCCAGTTCTACCACAGGCTTTGTATGGATCCTGGGCAAGTCACTGATAAATGTAAAATAATGCACATTGGAGAAAATAATCCCAACTGTACATACAATATGATGGTGACTAATTTAGCTATAGTAATAGAGAGGTAGCCGTGTTCGTCTGATCTCGCTAAAACAAAAGGAAAAACTATGTAGCACTTTAAAGACTAACAAGATGGTTTAGTAGGTGATGAGCTTTCGTAGGCCAGACCCACTTCCTTAGATCATTAATTCTTTGGCGAAGTGTCTGAGAAGTCTGTCCAGTATACATAGCAGAAGGACACTGTTGGCACACGATGGCATAAATTATATTTCTGGCATCCAGAAATATAATTTATGCCATCGTGTGCCAACAGTGTCCTTCTGCTATGTATACTGGACAGACTTCTCATTAAGGCCCATTTGTAAAGTGTCAAATTTAAGCAAGGAAAAACCAGTTGCTTTTCATTTCAACCTACCTGGACATAGTCTTAACGACCTTACTACATGTATCTTTCTTCAAAGAGACTTTAACACCAGATTACAGAGGGAAATTTTAGAACTTTCTTTCATGCTTAAATTTGACACTTTACAAATGGGCCTTAACAAAGATGCAAATTACCTTAACCATTACAAAGATAGCTTCTCATTTATCACCCCTGATTGGCTAGCCACTCATTGACTCAAATAGCTATTCCCTCTCTCTCTTCCCCTCACCCACCTTCTGTACTAGATCTGATTTGTCCGTTTTATAATGTGTTTACTTTTTTCACTGTATTCCTTTGGTATATACTGTCATGCCAATTCTCTTCCAGAATATGATCTGAGGAAATGGGTCTGGCCCACGAAAGCTCATCACCTATTAAACCATCTTGTTAGTCTTTAAAGTGCTACATAGTTTTTCCTTTAATTTAGCTAATAACTACTCGAGAGAGATCTTGGAGTCGTTGTGGATAGTTCTCTTAAAACATCTACTCATAGTGTGGCAGCAGTCAAAAAAACAAGCAGAATGTTAGGAATCATTAAAAAAGGAATCGAGACTAAAACAGAATATCTTATTGCCTTTATATATAACCATGGCACTCCCACATCTTGAATACTGCGTACAGATGTGGTCACCTTGTCTCAAAAAAGATATGTTAGCATTGGAAAAGATTCAGAAAAGGGCAACAAAAATGATTAGGGGTTCCAAACCAGGTCCCATATGAAGAGATTAAAAAGCCTGGGACTTTTCAGTTTAGAAAAGAGGAAACTAAGGGAGGGGAATATGATAGAGGTCTATACAATCGTGACTGGTGTGAAAAAATGAATAAGGAAATGTTATTTTCTTGTTCCCATAACACAAGAACTAGGGGTTACTAAATGAAATGACTAGACAGCAGGTTTAAAACAAACAAAAGGAAGTTTTTCTTCATACAACACACCGTCAACCTGTGGAACTCCTTGCTAGAGGACGTTGTTAAGACCAGAACTTTAACAGGGTTCAAAAAAGAGCTAGATAAATTCATGGAAGTTAGGTCCATCAGTGGCTGTTAACCTGGATGGGTAGGTATGGTGTCCCTAGCCTCTGTTAGAAGCTGCAAATTGATAACAGGAGGGGGATCACATGATGATTACCTGTTCTGTTCACTCCCTCTGAATCACCTGGCATTTGTTACTGTTGGAAGACAGGATCCTGGGCTAGATGGACCTTTGGTCTGATCCAGTATGGCCTTTCTTATGTACCCCACTTTCCCCATTTATAAAATGGTGACCCCCTACTTCGTAAAGCAATTAATTAATACTTATTAATTAATTAATACTTATAAAAGTAATAATAAAAGATCATTTATTATTATTAACACTAGTGGTATAATAAACAGGTGCTGGTATTTATATGTTCTTCTCCTATTGCTGTGTGAAAGATCCATGCAAATGGCTAACAGCCTAGCGAGGCTGGGAAAATGGTAAAAATAACTTGTACTTAGTGTTGTAAAACCGTCAAATACAATGAAAATACAAGAATATTTCCCTCTAATCTTTCCATCATAGTCATTTTAGATATTGTAGTAGCTTTAAAAATTACAATTGAAAATATTTTTAAATGGTCAGCGTCCTAGAGTTGCTGGTTTTTCTTTGCAGCTAAGGTGATAATTGCCATTGTACTTTAATTTCAAATTATGACATGAGAGGATGTGATGGCATTTGTAGGGCTGTAATAGGGATGTAAAAGGTTAACCCGTTAACCAGAAAGCATTAGTCTCACAGGAATGCTTACTAGGTAACTGGTTGAATGGAAGGTGCGGCCACCGGGAGCAGTCTCCCCATCCAAGGAGGCTTGGCTGCAGCAGATCCTCTGCCTGCGGCGTTTAACTGGTTAACCAGTTTAAGTGGTTTTTACATCCCTAGTCCGCAGTAAAATATCCTTGCTTCTTATTCATGACAGTCAGGTGTTAATAAGCAATTGTTAATTGGGGCATGTGACGGGGCAGAGGCGCCCCGCACTGAGATGACCCACCCGATCACGTACGCGGCGGTTCTCGAGGGTCAGGCCGGGAGCCCCAAGCGGGGCGCGCCGCGAACAGCCGCCCGTGCGGCCCCTGCACGCCCCGCCAACTGCTGTGTCAGCTGTTCGGCGGCGGCGGCCTTCCGGCTAGAAATGCCGGAGGATCTCAGGGAGGCGGCCAGGCGGATGACGCCATCGCGCTACTCTGGCCGCTGATGGGAGACGTTACCACGCCACGCCGGGTGGGGCCGCGGCGGCGGAGCAGATCCGGGGGATTTAAACGCCGCCGGCAGGGAAGGAGGGGGAAGCAGGCCGCGAATGGCCTCCCTCCCCGGGGCCGTTAGGTGGAGGGGCCCGAAGCCGAAGGGGTAAGCCTTGCTCAGCAGGGTGAACCGGAATGGGGAGAGGAAGCAGCCCAGGGCGGGCGAAGGGAGCCTGCGGGGCCCCGTCAGCCGGACCGGACGAAGGTTCCGTCTGAGTCCTTTGGGCCCTGGGCTGGGGTCCGTGAGAGGGGGTGGGCCTGGACCCCCCTCTCCTCACCAGGAGGAAACCGCTCAGCCGACGTCTCGGGGAGACCCGGCAAGTTAATGACCTGATTAGTTGGGACGCACATAGGCGACCGCGAGGAGGGGTTTGAACTAACGACCCTGTGGGTGACGGGAAGGGGGAGTATCCCGTAACAAAGGGGGAGGGGTACCCCACTACACGGCAGTAGTGCTAGTTTTTAATAAAGTAGCAAAAATCACCAGTAGCTAGATTTTTCTAGTCTTTTGAGACCTTTTCCTATTGGCTTTAGTGAGTGTGCAACTCTTATTTAGGCGTGAGCTTGTAAACGTTGATGGTATAACCAAAAGTTCAGGCATGGATGAAGAATGGGTCATGTAAGAAGCAGAAATGAGCTACAGCTTGAATAATGCAGACTCAAAATAAATATATTAGTTGTAGTGGTTAAAGCCACATGCATATTCTTTGAATCAGGTAGTTACCTAAGTAGCTGGAGGCCTCTCTTTTTTTAAATCACTACAGGTTGAACCTCCCAAATCCAGGAGTGTCTATTCCGGCAGGGCTAGAGATGTTGCTGACCAAAGAGCCCAGGAGCAATGCAGTGGCTGGGGAGCTGGGTCAGGTGACATCTGAGGAGCCCCTGCCCTGGCCTGGAACCTCCAGCATTAATAGAGCCAGGTAGTGGCCAGGGAGCCCCAGCCAGGGACGCCTGCCATCATTGGAGCCATGCAGTGGCCAGGGAGCTCCTGTCCAGGCTGGGGAACCCCCAGCATTAGCAGGGCCACATGGCCGGGGAGTCCTGGCCCCAGCTGTGGAATTCCTTGCTGCTGCTGGGCTTCCTGCGGCCAGGCAGCCCCGGCCAGGAACCCCAAGAAACCTTGCGGGGCTGGGGTGACCAGGCAGCCTTTGCCAGGGAACTTTCTCTTCCTCCTCTCTCTCCCCACCCAGCGGAAGTGGGGTAAAAGAGGCAGGCAGCCAGAACCCCCCGGTGGCAGCAGGGCTGGTGTCTGCTGGGTAGCCCCAGCTTGGAACCCTGGAGAACACCCTGTGGTAGCAGGACCGGCAGCAGCCAAGCGGTCCTCACTAGGGACCCTGAGGAACCCTGGGGCAGCAGGTGGGCAGCAGGGTGGGGAGTTGTGCTGGGCCAGCTTTAGCGGGGCAGTGGCAGGGCAGGGAGCCCCAGGGAAGAGGAGCCCGGGAGCGGGGCAGCCAGCAGGGGAGTGCTGACCTCCCCTGCTCCAGCATACTCCCCGGTCCGGGTCAACTCAGATCCCAAGAGAGCCAGACCAGGGAGGTCCAACCTGTGCATTAAAGCCAGCAACTTTGGATCTTTTTATGCTATTTATATCAAATCTTTGTGATCCTGTTTAGACTTTTTCAAAGCAAAGGTCAATCAAGAGTGATTAAAAATTAAGAGAAATTGAGTTATAGGTCAGAAAATAGATGTCTGAATAGTTCTCAGTATGCAAAAACTTTATAAGTGATATGTATAAATTTAGATTTTTTTACAGTACATCTTGAATACAGAGAGAACAAGTTTCTGCTTGCTAGAGTCCTAAAGTTAAAAGGCATGGATCAGTGCTAGTAAAAGTGCTGTTTAAGAGACTAATTTGAAAATAAGAGGTCACCGCTTGACATTGAGGAGACGACTGGCAATTAAACAAATTGCTCAGAATTTCTTCTTTCTATAGCTAGTCTGCATATGGAACAAATTGCTGAAGTCAGAGGAAGTGAGCAGTACAAATCTACTCCAGATAGAGCTGGACAATCTCTTTTTGTATGTGAGTGAATAGAGAGAAAGGATAGAACCAATAATTAAATATGTGGGGCTGAGAGAAGTAAATGTTTCTTGGGTTGGTAAGTTATATATTGAATGATGTAATTCAGAAGTAGTTTAAGTTGAATGAGCATTGAAAGCATAATATTGCCTGTTTCCTTTTAATGGAAATTGAACTGTTAGCTATTTGAACTTAAAAAATACTTAACTTTAAAAATAGTGGCCACTGACTGTGTTTTAACTGTGTTTTAAATTGTGCCTAACCACTGCATGTGTAATTCAGAATATAATCAGTATTTGCTGTACATGTAATAAATGTTATTGAATGTAGAGTATATTGTTTGCCTATGCACCTTAAGCATTGGGTAGGTGCACTTCTTATATTTAAATCAGTTATGTAAAATATACGCACAGGATTTATTGTCTAAACATATAGCATCTTGTACTATATGTTTCACTGATACTTGTGGGTTTTCCTTCTTTGCTCTGTAAATAAGAGCCATTACTTCTTGAATAACTAGATAAATATAGGAAATTATTAACAGTAAGTTGAGAGGTATGATATGAAATGAATATTTGACAAAGACAATGCAACCCAAAACTTAGTTTAAATCAATATGCATGGATTTTATCAAAAAACTGCTGGATTCTATTTCATGACAGGGATTGCATGCAATTAGAATTAAAAGAGAGAAAACTGATTCATCCGCCTGTTCAGTGTCAGCACTTATTAGATGTCAGCAGGTGCCCAAGAAAGAAAAGTATTTAATTGCAACTTCTAATAAAGCACAGAGAAATTGTCTGTAGTGGCTTTTAAACAGTTTCTTACAAAACATAAATACATAGCCTGCCTGTAATTAGGGATATAAAAGGTTCACCGGTAAGCATTAGTCTCACTTGCATGCTTACTGGGTAACTGATTAAATAGAAGGTGCATCCGGAGGGGGAAGCCTCCCCGCCCATAGAGGCATGGCCACAGCAGGCCAGCAGGGCTGGCGAAGCACCTGTGGCTGCACCGGGACTGGAGCAGCCCCCGCCTGTCGCGTTTAACTGGTTAACCAATTTAGGCAAGTTTTTACATCACTAACTATAATATAACTTAATTTCCTCATCTGCAGTATAACTATGTTGTATAATCTTATTGAAGTTGAACTGCATACAGCAATCTATATCTCTAAAACCAGTGTATTAAGAACCCCCATTACAAACTAGTAATGATACTAGTCATGAAAAAAAAAATGTTTGCACTACATCTGGCATTACCCTTTTGCCAGTTAAATTTTGCTTATCTTCCTTTTTTGCTTTATGATGTACATTGTGGGAATAGGATATGAGTCAGAGAGAGATTTCCTATTGCTGTGATCTCTAACAGGTGTACTTCAAATTATTGTCGCTTGTTACCAGCCAACATGGGTTCATCTGTTGCTCAAGAGTAGTATGTCGTAGTGGGAAATCAAGAGTCTACATGCTAGAAGAACAGTGCCACGTTTTGATAAACTTGAGTTTAATATCCATTAAAACCTCATTAAGCTAACATTAACTTTTCCCTCGTTTTTCAGTCATTTTCCAGGCTAATGACTTCCGTTTACAAATAAATCATAGCATTCTCATTTTATAAACCATCTTTTTCCTGCAGTTAATGACCTCATGTTCGCTTCGATGGTCATAAATTTTGAAGTGTCAAATACTGGCTTGTAAGCTATCCAGATTCATTGTAACAGGGATTTTTAAGTGCTTATCACAATAACAGTTAGCCCTGTTACAAAGTAAATAATTAAAACACACATTTAACATTTCTGTTGAGCATATAATATGCTGGTTCTACCCTAAGCTGTTCCCCACATGCTGATCCACAAAAAAAAAGAGAGAGAAAAAAAGAACAAGTGTGCTTAAAAATGGCCAGACGCTTAAAGAGCAAGCAAGTGCCAGAGACTAAAAGCCTCCTACAAAAATGCCCTCTCACCCCATCCCCAGCAGTAGTAGCAGATTCTCAAACCTTGGTAAAGCTAAAGATGTATAAAGAAGAGACTGCAAGATACAAGCCCACCTGTAAATGTGTGTTGAAATGGATTTGATTCTATTGCATCCTGTCAAAATAGAATATGTGATTTTGGTATTGTATTATGTTGTGTTAAAATTGGTAAATGGTGTCTTCCCATATTCTGACTTTCTTTTTTTTTTCTTACCAAAAGTCGAAACCAACTTTCAACATTGCCAGTACATATGTGTAGTCTACCTTTGAAAGTTTTGATAGCAAGTAATAATAAGCTGGTCTCACTTCCTGAAGAAATTGGACAGCTCAGACACCTTACAGAGCTTGTGAGTACATATTTATTGATAATTATTGCTGTTTGGCCCTTAATTTATAAATAACTTGCACTAGTGGATTTAGATTTCATCGAGATTAAGTAACTGTATTCCACCAAGAGAGGAAGGATGATGAAGTACCTAGTCATTAGGTACTTAAAAAACCAGGTTCAATTCCTTGCTTTGCCACAGACTTCCTGTGAACTTGGGCAAGTCTCTCTGTGCCTCAGTTCTCCTTTTATAACATGGGGATAATAACGCTGACCTTCCTCTTGGAACATGGCGCTCAAATACAATAGTAATGAGATTGAGATAAATACTAAGAGAGAATCAGAATGGAACTTTGTTCAAACAAATAAGTGCTACCAAGATATTCATACTCGTATAATATATTCTGTGGTCCAAATAAAAGTTCCCTGTGGATTACTACTCCCTGCCATACACATATTATCCTATAAATAGAGCAGTGGTATTTTCAAACTTTTTTCTGATTATCCCATTGAAAAAATTGTTGATGCTTGAGACCCAGCAGAGCTGGGGATAAGGGCTTTGGGGGTGCAGGACTGGTTTTAGGGATGGGGCAGTAGATATGGGTGCAGGCATGAGGGCTGTGGGGTGGGGGATGAGGGTTCACTGTGTAGGAGGGTCTGTGGGCTGGAGTAGTAGGGGTTGGGGTGCAGGACTGGGTAAGGGCACAGGCTTACCACCCAGGCTTGAATGCAGGCTTCCTGCCTGTCTTGGCACCTTGGACCACACTGAAGCAGCCAGCCACAGGTCCAACTCCTAGGTTGAGGTGTGCAAGCAGCTACCCATGGCTCTCATCTGCAGACACTGACCCTTCCCATTGGCTGGTTTCTGGCAGTGAAAGTGTCTCTGCCTTGAGCACTGGCTCCACAATATGGAGAGCCCCGTGCCCCTGCTGCTTAGGAGCTGGCCCTGCTGCTGGCCGCTTCTGGGGCAGAGCATGGTGTCAGAAGAGTTGGGGATTGGCCAAAGGTTTTTTAAGTGTGGGCTGTGAATAGAGACAACTGTACATTATTTTTCTGATTGAGTCTTCAGCAAACCCCCAAACCTCTACATACATAAATTACTGTGATTTGGACATGGATTTGTGCATATTTGTATGTTTTGCCTAAAGTTCATTACGTATTTTAGGAAAAATTGTCATAGCAGCCACCTGCAAGAGTTGGTGACCGCAGTCAGAGGTCACCAAGCATTTTGTTGTGAGAATCCCTGAACTGGATTATGTCAGGGATGGGCAATAATTTTGGCAGGGGGCCACTTCATGAATGTTGTCTGTGGTCAATTGGCTGGCTCCACCCCTAGCAGGGGCAGGACCCTGAGCAAAAAGGGGTGGTTCCCTCTAGGCCCAAGGCACCTCTGGTGGGTAGAGGAGACTTTGCACACTCCCCCACCCCTGGCCAATTGAGGCCTGGGGGCAGGGGAACACGCAAAGTCTCTTGCCCCTGCCATGCAATAGGCATGCAGCGCCTAGAGGGAACTGCCACCCGTTTTGAACAGCTGGCGGTTCCCTCTAAATGCCACATGCCCTTGGCTGAGGGAGGAGGTGTCACACGTTTCCCTGCCCCCAGAGAGAGGCAAAAATACCCCTCAAAGATCCCTGATAATCTGACCAGGGGAAAATTCCTTCCCAATTCGAAATCTGGTGACCAGGTATCACTTCAGAGCACTGGTCTACCACGTCTGGCATCATATGTCCAACTAAGGCCAATTCCTAATGCTTCACTGAGGGTTGGGGAAAAATATAGAATACATATGGCCAATTGTTCATCAGGGGAATTTTCTTTTCCTGACTGCTGCCACAGCCACCTGAAGTATAAAGTTTGATTTTACTGCTGAGTTGCAAGTGTTATGCGAATATTGAGTGCAATGGGGAAGGAAATTAACAGGGGCATTCATAAACTCTGAGGCTAGAAGCCTGTCCACGCCTCCTTTCAGAAGCTGGATCAAGGCATGTATTTTAGATAAAATACCTAATTTCCCTGTATAGACTCACAAGTGACGGCAGTCCACCCCCACCCAGATAAGATGTTCCAGTGTTTGTTTATCTTCAGTGCTATGAAATTACATCTTATTTTACGGTTCTGCTTGTCTGACTTCAGTTTCCAGCCATTAGTCCCTTGTTATGCACTTAGTCCGCAAGACTGAAAATCCCCCACTAGCAGATTATTTTACCATGTGAAAGTACCTAGATACAGTGATCAGGTCACCTCTCATCTCAGCCTTCTCTTCTTTTATACTGGTAATTTAGCAAGTATTTTATACTTTTTGTCTGTTCTAAATGGTCTTGTAAATTTGCCTAGAGGTATTGAGGATAGCCCCTTGAAAATATCCAGACAAGGTATATGGCATGTAATGTTTCTCCATGCTCTCCAGAGCCTGTGAAGGAATTATTGAAATTGAAGCTAACATGCTAGTTTTCTAACTGAATGTACATGGATATATCATTATTAAGGCTACGATTCTGTCATGGGGGTTGCAGAAGTTATGGATTCCATGATTTCCAGCGATCTCTGTGGCTTACACAGTTGGGAGCTGCAGGGTTCTACCACCTCCCGCAGTGGCAGGGAGCTGCGGGGTATCTCCACCACCTCAGGCAGCCGGGTGCCTGAGCTCTGAGCTGCTATGGGCAGTTTGGGTATCCCACAGTCCCCAGCTGTTGCAGACAGTGGATTGCTGCAGCCCCAAATCCCTGTGGGTAGCAGGGAGATCTCCACAACCCCTGGCTCCTGAAATGCCATCGTAGAGGGGTTGAAGCCTCCAGCTGCCCAGTGACTTCCCATTTTGTCATGGATATTTTTAGTAAAAGTCAGGGGCAAATCATGGGCTTCTGTGAATTTTTCTTAATTACCTATGTCCTGTTTGTGACCGTTAGTAAAAATATCCTTGACAAAATCATAACTGTAATCTTTATTCCTTCACTTTATTCATATCATGTAACTTGTCTTAAGAGCTTTTATGAGCTGGTGTAATTTCTCCTGGATTCATTCTTTTCTTTGCTGTGCCACTGACGAGATACTTAAAAAAAAGTGTGTGCCTCTGTATTCCCATTTGTAAAATGGGAGTAATTAATACCTAACTTTGTCAGAGTGCTGAGACTTTCTAAATGTTGGTGTAACACTTTGACAATCTTGTGTGTCACAGAACTGTTTATTTTTTGTCAAGTTTGTACATAAAACATTGCCTGTAAGAGTTAATGTACAGACACCTACAAAACCAGAAGGCAGGAATTGTTTGTTACCATTGGGATTTATTTCAACAGGCTCAAGTCCCAAGAAAGTGGCTCACTTTATAGTTTTGTATTGCAGGATGTGAGCTGCAATGAAATACAGACAATACCTCCACAGATTGGCAGCCTTGAGTCTTTGCGGGACCTGAATGTCAGGAGAAACCATTTGGTGCATTTACCTGAAGGTGAGATCAGCAGATGAAAGTCTGTCATATATAACAACTGACATTGTTTTATTCTTTTTAAAGCTTGTTTCCTGAAGAACTAGTAGTCAGCATACTGTTTGTTAAAGCTACTAGATTGAATGTTTGTTTTCTTATCTCCAGAGCTTGCAGAATTGCCTTTGATTCGGTTAGATTTCTCCTGCAATAAAATCACAACAATTCCTGTTTGTTATCGGAACCTCAGGCATCTTCAGACGATCACACTAGATAACAACCCTCTACAGTCACCCCCTGCACAGGTGAATTTAGTTCGGAATTAAAATGGCTGCTGTCTTTACCAGAGGGTGCAAAGTAAGATTAGAAACTGAAGGATTACAACTTTCATTTGTGAACAGTAATATCCTAAGGAACCTTTGTTTCTCTAGAGACCTTAAAGAAACCCATCCTCCACTTCCCTTAACTAGCTTGTTCTACTGGAATTAGGTATGTGGTTACTGCAGGAATTCCCTTGTTAGTCTTCTGAGTAAACTTCTCATTGTACAGCACAAGTGAAATAAGCAAGTGACTCTAGAGCAGAGTAAGCTTTGGGGAAGAGCCAAGAGCTATGAACAAAAACCATTTTTGTGCCATTCTACGGTGTAAGTAGTGACCTGGGAACCTGAAACGGCAATGCATTTTCAGTCATTATACAGCAGACTGCCCAAACGGGAGCCTTGAGGCTAAATACAATGTGGTCAATGGCTGATTTAATCTTTAATATGTATGTATAGCCCTTGGGAATGACCTGCTTCCCCTGACTCAGAGTGCAAAGGGCTGTGACTTACGGCTTCCATAGATCAGTGGTCCCCAACCTTTTTATTCCTAAAATCACTTTCTGAATGTTAAGGGCAATCCAAGATCTACCTTGCCCCTTCCCTCAGTCCCTCAGTGTTCACAACAGCTCTTCAATGTGTGTGTAATGCATAGACAAAATAAAATGCTAAATATGTTTATGGATTCTTTTTTATAGATATGCATAAAAGGAAAATTTCACATATTTAAATACCTGAACATAGAAGCATGCAAGATAGCTCCAGACTTGCCTGATTATGATAGAAGACCCATGGGATTTGGCTCATGGTAAGTTTGCTCATGTTACATTTGGTGAGGATTGGGTAAAACTCGTGCACTCTCCTGAATTCAGAAGCAGCCAAACCTGGATCGATGCTTGTCAGTCAGTGTATATTCCACCGGTTCTTGTGGCCTTGAAGAACAATATGGGGTGTGTCACCCTCTGAGCCAGTCTTGCAGGGGTCTGGGTAAGACAGTTTAGAAGGAGAAACTAAGTAATAACTCAATTCAGCCAGTGCCAAAGGGCACACCCTCTTCAGAAAAAACACCAAGAGCCAGGACTGGTGGCTATAAATAAACTTTATGGGACTGTGGGAAATTTAGTCACACTCATGATAAGTGGACATCTGGCTAACTCAAATCATGCCAGACCAGAGTGTGACAGACTAGGAAGTTTCAACCTATACTACTGTTTTCTATAAAGAACGGGCTTCCAGCCTTTCAGGCAGTTGTATCAGTTTACCAGAATAAGACATTGACTGTTCTGATCAGTGTCTGTGGACTAGTATTAAATTGTGACCTTTAACCTTTGGGCTGTTTAGCTGTGAGACTGAACTATGGAGCAGTCCAGCTCAACGTTGGGTCATGGATGACTGAGTGGAATGGAGGAAGCAACAGCACTTCAGAGGAGCCTAGCTTCAGTATTGAGATAGGGAGGAGAAAGTCTGTAATGCAAGACATAAAAGTTTGAAGTACAGGTGTATGGGATCAGTGGAGTAGGAATCATTTGCACTAATTAAGTTTGAAAGGCTCTAGTAGTTCTATTGCCTGAATAGAAAGGAGATGGAAATATATGCTTGTATTACAATGTTACTTCAGATTTCTGGCTGTCAGTGATGATCTCTTCTTATCAGTGGCCATTAAATGCACATCTTGTGTCACTTATTTTTATGGATAAATTTACAGAAAGATACTTTAGACACTGCTTTTCAGAGTGATTATTGCACTTCTCAGGTGGTTAGCTACTTTCCCTTCGTGCCTTATGTGTTGGGCATGAAATGTACTGCCTACTTCTTATTGCTTAATTTTGCTGCTTGCAGCCAGCTCATTAATGAGAGAAAGTATCTGCAGTCTCAGCTGATTTCTTAAAGACTGCTCTCTATAAAGAACATATAAAGTCCTGAGTAGACAGTAACCCTACATTTTCCAGTTTTTCTGAGGTCTGAAGACAGACTGCATCTTTCAAATGTAGAATGTAGAAGTATGCCTCCTGGGATGAGGTTTACCTGGGTGGTCGACAAATACCTTTGATGTCTCCACCCGCGCGTCCAGACTATCGCACTGAGCCGACAAACAGCTGATCAGCTGTTTGTCGGCTCAGCGCGGCAGCCATGTAAATTTAAATGAAGCGGCAATTATTTAAATCGCCGCTTCATTTTCCTATGTCTGGTAGCCTAATCTACCTGCCTCTGGCGACAGAGGCATGTAGTCTAGACGTACCCGAACAAACATAATGCTAGATCCTGCCTATGAGTCCATACAGTCAGAGCCCTAGTAACGTAAATGATGCTCGGTGTAGGGTTAATGGTTTGCTTATGTGGATCCTTTTGCAGATGTACACTTAAAAATAAGTGTATTTCATTTTGGCTATTCTTGTTCCCTCATTTTTTTTTATTCCTTAGTTTTAATTTCAGAAATGTCACTATGGGTGCTCTGCTTCCTGCATGCCTACTCCCCTTGTTCCTTTAATTGGAGATCTTAGGTTGCAGAACCTGTTCAGCCCACGCATGTGCCCTGTGTTTCCTTATGCCCCATTCTAAGGCTGTAGAGTGCTGTGTGAACAAACCATCCTCTGTTCTTTCTCCATTGTCACGACCTGAGACTGCGCATTATTGTGCCTTACTTTGAAGTGCTTGGTGTAGTTGCCTTTTTAGTTTTATTATTTCGTCTTATTTACTTTGTATTTAGGAGATCTTTCTCTTGATCCCTTTTCCATTGAGGGAGGGGGAACTTCCCCTGCTAGATATCCGTTGTCCTGGGGTATACCAGGAGCTCTGGGCTTCAAGCAGTACATCTGTTGACAGTGCATCTTGGTCAGCAGCACGCATTCCTGTTGTATCCACTGCTTGGGAGAGTCCAAAATCCCACAAACTGCTCTATCTGCTCTGCTTTTTAAGTGTGGGTCAAGAAAACATCGGGAGCTAAAACTGACACCCTTGCGTTTCCTTCAACTGGTCTCAGATCCAGGACTCTTGCCCCTCCAGACATTAGCTGCTGAGTGAACACAGTGCCCCATTAAATTCAGCACATTCACTTTCATCTACCCAATGCAAATCCACAAAAAAGACCCATACAAAACTGAGTCATTCTCTGCAGCAAGCATTCACCTCAAAAAGCCATTGGTTCCTGCAAAGCAAGACCTCTGTTGAGACCCCATGTGTCACCCTGGGTATGCAAGGCTGCTGCAAACATTCCCAGTACTTGTTCTGTGCCTGGGACTCCAGACTCAGCAAAGAAGAAGGTCAACAAGCATGCGTTGGTACCGAGACCTTTAGTGCTACACAAGCATCATCTGAGCTTTTTACCTCTAAGACAATGGTACCCAAAATTCCTTTGGTATCATTGACATCTTAGACTGCCCCACTACCGGGAAGAAGCCATGTCTCCCAAATGGTCTGAACACCTTCCAAAGCATCACATCAGTATTGAGTAGTTCAACCAGAGTGAACTAGCCAGAGCAGCCTATGGCCTCAGTACTGACAATATTCCCACCTTTCAAATTCATCTGGTATTGCAGGAGTTCAGGTTTTCAAAGGATCTACTAGTTTTGGAGGAGCCGGAATCTCCCTTGTTGGTACTAAAGGTTCTCAGTACCAAGACAAGTGCGGTCTCTGCCGTGGGACCTTTTCTCAGTACCACTTGACTCTCCAACACCTTCAGAGAGTGCTGGGGCTTCGTTCTTGAAGAGGAGAAATTTTCCTTCAGTTCAGATATTTCCATCCAGGATTTCCTGATGCTTCAGACAAGGAATTTTTATCCTGACGCTTGTGACAAAAGTGGGGAATGGTACCACAGATGAACTCATGTTCTTCAACCTGGTTTGAGCACCAATGGATGCTACCCTTAATGCCTTTTGGATCTCTCCAGTGGCCATACTGGATTCCATGTGCTGCCTGTCATCTGCGATTGTCCTGTGCCCCTAGTCTTTCTCACAGGGAGCATAGGGGGAGATGTTCCTACACCTACTGCTTTTCTTCTATTACCACAAGCACAAGAATCCTTTGAAGAGCAGGAAGCCAGGACAGATAAAGCGGTTTCTCTGAAAACGAATATTTCTTCATCTTCCCCAGATGAAGTGGTTATGCTTCCCCAACCAACCGTGGCTAATGACTTCAGACATGGTCAAGAGTTAATGAGGCACATTTTGGATTCCCTGCAGATCCCCTTGGAAGAAGTCAGGGAGTGTCAGCACCAGCTCCTGGG